TTTGTTTATTTGTTTGTTTCCCAAGACAGAGTCTCATACCGTTGCCCTAGCTGGAGTGCAGTGGCGTGATCTTGGCTCACTGTAACCTCCGCCTCTTGGGTTCAAGTGATTCTCCTGCCTCAGCCTCCCAAGTAGCTGGGATTGAAGGCACCTGCCACCATGCCCAGCTATTTACCTTTATTTTTAATAGAGACAGGGTTTCACTATGTTGGCCAGGCTGGTCTCAAACTCCTGACCTCTTGATCCGCCCACCTTGGCCTCCCAAAGTGCTGGGATTACAGGCATGAGCCACCGCACCTGGCCTGGGGAATAGAGTTCTAATTTCAGTTCCATTCAACACCGGAATGGTCATGTCATGACAGATAGGTAGATGATAGACAGAAGTTCACTTGTTCATTTCAATCTGCTGAGTTTTTTCAGGCAAGGTTTTTACAGTCAGTACTGGTGCTAAACTCTAAGTCATTATTAAGGGGGCTGTTTATGTTGGTATGGGCAGGGTTAAGGGAAGCTAACTAGGCGTGATGCAGCCTCCCAGGGCTGGCAACAGAAACTGGTACTTTAGCAGTCCTGGGCATGAATAGGTAAGGACAGGGAGAGATTACCAGAAACTGTTGAGATTGGCTGTGTGGGAGAGGTCTGCTAACCAGAGCGATGGCTTTTGGTGAACATAGTCAACAAGTGACAGTCTGACAGGGAGGAAGACAGCAGAATACACGTGCAGCCCTCACCATCCCCCCCTCTAGTCTCCCAGTGTCTACCAGTGGGTTTAACCCATCTGGAAGCCAGACAGCAAGAACATCCTTTGATGTCCTCCATAAAGGTGATCCTCTTGGAGCACAGAGCAGGGTGGAAGATGGTTGTGAGGTGAGAGGTGAATTGCCAGCTCAGTTAGGTTTAAAGAGGTTCTTGGAACCTAGGTTATTATTTTTTTGTTAAGAAGAAATATGTGGGCTGGGCACAGTGGCTCATGCCTGTAATCCCAGCACTTTGGGAGGCCAAGGCGAGTGGATTGCCTGAGGTCAAGAGTTCTAGACCAACCTGACCAACATTGTGAAACCTCGTTTCTACTACAAATACAAAAAAATTAGCCGGACATGGTGGCAGCCGCCTGTAATCCCAGCTACATGAGAGGCCGAGGCAGGAAAATTACTTGAACCTGGGAAGTGGAGGTTGCATTGAGCTGAGATAGCACCACTGCACTCTAGCCTGGGGAACGGGGCGAGACTCCGTCTCAAAAAAAAAAAAAAGATATTAGCAGTTAGTTTGCAAGTAACTTTTATGTTTTCTTTTGAATTTTAACATCTACCAATCTTATTGTTTGTTGCCAAACTTGCTCCTATTCTCCCTTCTACTCACAGTAATTCTCTATGACTTGCTAACGAATACCATATTTTTTTCTGCATATCTGTCAGCTTTTATAGCAGTTTTCCCCATGGAAAAAAATAGCAAAGTTTGTATCTATCTCAGGCAATAGGGGATGTATGCAGCATCTTAGCAATTTCATATTTATTATACATTCTTCTCATTTCTGTTCCAGATGAACATGTACTCACTGCTTGTGAGTGATTGTAATAATTTCTCCCCCTCAAGGGAAAGCTGTCAGTAGATGCTTTTCCCTGCAGCCTCCTTTACTCAGAGCTGTTAACTTTGTTTTGATCAGGATGTCCTGCGTTTAATGGTGGGCATTTTTGTTTTTAGGTAAGTGACAGTTTGCTCTTTGATGCATCAGATGACGAGGAGCTGAGAGAGCAGCTGGATATGCACTCAATCATTGTCTCCTGTGTGAATGATGAACCCCTCTTCACAGCAGACCAGGTATAGAGGAGATACTCATCAGCGCAAGGAAAGGAGACTCCAGAGCTGAAAAACGGCTTCTTATTATGACACTAAATAATGGCTGTTGGTTTACTTATCTTTCCTATTTTTTCTGGTTATACAGGCTTAATAGTTAACTCTTCCACAGAGAAAAGTAATGTCATCTGAAGCAGAAGGGATTATGTTAGTTGGGAAGATTTCCAACATAGGCATTGTTGAAGTGTATAGCAAGTTACCAAGGAAGGATTATTGCTTAACCTCAAACCAGAAAAATATTGTGAATTTCCTTATTTCTTTAGATTTACCCAAATATGGAAAAACTGTGAAGTATCTGTGTAGAAATTATTTAGTATCTTTAAAACCCTGGGTAAAAAGCATTAGCATGTGTTAAAGTACATATTGTGTGTCCCAGAAAGAAGTGAGCATTATTCCTGTGGAATGCTCTAATAAGGTCAACCCCGTATTCACTTAAAACCAGTTGAATCAGCTTTCTCATTTTCTGAATGCTCTTCCCACCTCTGTTGTATTGTTGAAATGTGATGCCAGAACTTCTTCCTGAAATAAAATGTTCCATGGCTACTTGGACTGTGAATTCTACCATACTCTATTTTTAGGCTGGAAAGATGAGGTCAGTAAGGAGATATATTATGGCAAGCTTGGGAGGAGGACATTAAAAATTTACATTAAAATTGTGTTATTTGGATGCTCCTTAGTCATATTTGTGGTTGAATTGTTCTAGGCCTGGAAAGAATGCAGTGCTTAAAAAAGCAAGGTAATAGTAGGTTGGAGGGCTGTTTTGAGGTAGAGGGTGATCTCGGGATAGACATGACCTTGTGAATTTGTTGTCCCCTCACTGACCTGCCTAATTCCTTAAACTGTCTCTCCCTGTTTTTAAGAGTTAGAATAACAGACTCTGTAGGAGCCTTGAGTGGCTCATTGTGTCATATTATATTGCCTGTTTTGGAGACTCTTCTTATAATTAACATAATCCCGTCTCCTTCAGATTTACCTTTGTTTTTCCTTGGTGGAAATGTTACCTGTTAAGCTTGTTAATTCATAAAGCATGGTAAATATGCTCAGGATGTTTTGCTCCTTCATTTAATTGTATTTAATTTTTTTTTTCTAACTTTAGGTCCTTCTTTTCTAACTATTGAGTAATTTTCCGGGCTTTGCTTTACATTTTGCTGAATTCTATATACTTCTCAACTTTTAGAATCTGGAACAGGCAAGATACTGTCTTAAGATTTGAGCAGCACTGCACTAGACAATAGATCATTGTTTAAAGGCAAATGTATTTCTGAAGTTTTTATGCTTTTCGTAGCATTTTTCTCTTTAGACTTTTACTTTTTAAGTAATTTAAAAATATCCCTTTATTTTTCATTGAATTAATATATACTATTCTTTTCCTACTGTTAAAAGAATATTTTGCTGTCGTAAAGGTAATTTCTTGTTCACATATAGTTTTTTGTGCTATTGTATTTTCTAAATTTTATGTTAGAATTTTTGATGAAATACCTTTACGTTGAGGACTTGCATGTCTGTGGTAAATTTTCTGTTATTTGCTTTCTTTATTTTTATTTTTATTTATTTATTTTTTTGAGACGGAGTTTCGCTCTTGTTACCCAGGCTGGAGTGCAATGGCGCAATCTCGGCTCACCGCAACCTCCGCCTCCTGGGTTCAGGCAATTCTCCTGTCTCAGCCTCCTGAGTTGCTGGGATTACAGGCATGTGCCACCATGCCCAGCTAATTTTTTGTAGTTTTAGTAGAGACGGGGTTTCACCATGTTGACCAGGATGGTCTCGATCTCTTGACCTCGTGATCCACCCGCCTCGGCCTCCCAAAGTGCTGGGATTACAGGCTTGAGCCACCGCGCCCGGCTTATTTGCTTTCTTATAACGATTACTTTATGATCTGGTTCTGGCATGTCTGAAGTAAATTATCATGTGTTTGTGGCACCATTTCTTAGAATTTACAAGACCTGGGAGGGCCAACTGAATCATGATGGACATAGTAAATCAAATTCTATTTAGGTTTGTGTTTAGTATATCATAATTTTTTCTTGATAAACCATGTTTACTCCTATAATCAAAATTTTGATTATTCAGAACACTCATTCCTGAAAACCATTGGTTAATGGAGAATTTAGTGCATTTCTACTCTGGGTGCCTTAGGTGAATGCCATGTTCCAGATAGATCATTTTCCTTTTGTATATTTGATTAACAGTTGTATGTATGTTTTCAAAGGTTATTGAAGAAATTGAAGAAATGATGCAGGAATCACCGGACCCAGAAGATGATGAAACCCCTACACAGTCAGATCGGCTTTCAATGCTTTCCCAGGAAATTCAAACTCTTAAGAGGTCTAGTACCAGCAGTTATGAAGAGAGTAAGGGAGTCTGCTTAAATCAATGATGTCTGTGCTTTTCGTCTATATCAAATGTATAGTGTGATCTTCTCCAGAAAGCTTTGATTTCAGCCTCCTTCTGTTTGTGTCTATGTCCAAATTTCCTCTTTTCCTTTTTTGAGATCGAGTTTTGCTCTTTTGCTCAGGATGGAGTGAAGTGGCGTGATCTCGGCTCAATGCAACCTCTGCCCCTGGGTTCAAGCGATTCTTCTGCCTCAGCCTCTTGAGTAGCTAGGATTACAGGTGCCTGCCACCATGCCCAGCTAATTTTTGTATTTTGGTAGCACCGGGGTTTCACCATCTTGGCCAGGTTGGTCTCGAACTCCTGACCTCATGATCTGCCCACCTCTGCCTCCCAAAGTGCTGGGGTTACAGGCGTGAGCCACCACGCCTGGCCCCAAATTTCCTCTTATAAGGACAGCAATCATATTGGATTCTATCCTAATGACCTTATTTTAACATGATTAACCTCTTTAAAGACTGTATCTCCAAATACTGTAACATTCTGAGGTACTAGGGGTTGGAACACATGAATTTTGCAGAGGACACAGTTGAGTCTCTAACAAACCTCATCATATTTGAAGTGTAGAATCAATATTCAGTAATTATTTGTCAAACGTAATTCCTGTCTATATAAATAGTCTTGTGTGTTACTATGAAGAATTTTGGGAACCATGGATCTGTTTGACGTATATGAGAATAATGAACTCTAGAAACTCTACAGTTGATTTCTGAATAACTAACCAGCCTGTGAAAAGCCTGAGGCTAGTTGGAAGGTAGACTTCTAATCATTGCCATACGACTGGTCCCCTCCTTGAATAGGCAGTGATGGGATCTGTGTCTGCTCAACCTGTATTGTCACCTAGTTTTATCTTTATGGCATGCCCAGTCTGAAGCTTAGTTACCTATAGACCTTTGGATTTTATGGCTTCAACATATGGACAGTCAGACAGACTGAATTCTTTCAGATGGTCTGATTTGACCACACTGCTGTAGATATAAGCTAAACAGTGTTGGGATCCTGACTCCCAAATGCAGTCCTGATACCTGGTTCAGACAGTAAAATCTGTATTGGTTTGCTAGTGCTGCCAGAACAAAGTACCACAGACTGGGTGGCTTAAACAACAGGAATTTATATTCTTGCAGACCTGTAGGCCAGATGTCTGAGATCAAGGTGTTGGCAGGTTTGCTTTTTTTTTCCAGAGGTCTCTCTCCTTGACATGCAGATGGCTGCCTTCTCTGTGTGTCTTCACGTGGTCTTTCTTCTGTGTCCTGATCACCCCATTTTATGAGAATACCAGTCATACTGGGTTAGGGTGCATCCTGATGTCTTCATTTATGCTTAATTTACCTCTTTAAAGACCCCATGTCCACATTCTGAGGTCCCGTGGGCTGGGACTTTAACAGTGTCCTGTCTCTCACAGGAGAAGTGCTGACAGAAGCCTGGAAGGGGTTTCAGGGAATATTGTTCCCTTTTGCCTTCCCAGTTGTATTAGTCCATTCTTGCACTGCTAGAAAGAAACAGCTGAAACTGCGTAATTTATGCAAGGAAGTTTAATTTGCTAACTGTTCTGCAGGCTGTACAGGAAGCCTGGCAGCTTCTGCTTCTGGAGAGGCCTCAGGGAACTTTTACTCAGGGTGGGAGGCAAAGCTGGAGCAGGCGTCTTCTCACGGCTGAAGCAGGAGGAAGGGGGCGGGGGAGGTGCCACATACTTTTAAACAACCAGGTCTCATGAGAACTCTGTCATGAGAACGGCACCAGGGGGATGGTACTAAACCATTAGAAATTGCCCTCATGACTGGGCATGGTGGCTCATGCCTGTAATCCAAGCACTTTTGGAGGCTGAGGCAGGTAGATTATGAGATCAGGAGACCGAGACCATCTTGGCCAACATGGCAAAACCCCATCTCTACTAAAAATACAAAAATTAGCTAGGTGTGGTGGCATGCACTTGTAGTCCCAGCTACTGGGGAGGCTGAGGCAGGAGAATCTCTTGAACCTGGGAGGTGGAGGTTGCAGTGAGCTGAGATTGCGCCATTGCACTCCAGCCTGGGTGACAGAGTGAGACTCCATCTCAAAAAAAAAAGATAAATAAATTGCCCTCATGATCCAATCACCTCCAACCCCTACCTCCAACATTGAGGATTATATTTTCAACAGATTTGGGTGGGGACACAGATGCAAGCCATATCACCAATTTTCTACAAAATTCACAGATTGGGGCATATGTAATTAAATATGTATTTAGTTTAATTCTTTCAGATGAACTTCTTTCCTTTTCAGAGGTATCTCAGAACCCTGCCGAACGACTTGCAGTTTTTGCTCATCAGGTGGTTTCTGTACTTTCCCTCTGCTTTTGTGTTTGTTCTTTTCCTTGTACAAGCTTTCACAGTCTTGGCTGAAGTACTCTTCCTGGAATGATTGATTTGCACAAGTAAAAGCTTTTGTTAGACTTTCTTCCCAGCAAGCTGAGAAGTGACTCACCTGCCCACTTACCTCTACTCAGACCTGCCCTCCAGAAATTTAGAATTCTGAGAAGATCACAGATAGCCAATTTAATTGCTTGGAATATGATTTTTGTTCTTTGACATTTATTTCATGGGTATTTATTTAGCCATTGCTAGTGACTACTCTGTTTTGCGTCCTTGAAACGTTTTTGTCTTCATATCAGCTGTATTTTATTTTTGGTCCTAGGAGTAAAAAGGCTCTCAGTGTCTGAGTTAAATGAACTCCTGGAAGAGATTGAGACTGCCATTAAGGAGTACTCGGAGGAGCTGGTGCAGCAGTTGGCCTTACGAGATGAACTGGAGTTTGAAAAGGAAGTGAAAAACAGCTTTATTTCTGTTCTTATTGAAGTGCAAAACAAACAGAAAGAGCACAAAGAAACAGCAAAAAAGAAAAAGAAACTAAAAAATGGCAGCTCTCAAAATGGGAAGAATGAGAGAAGTCATATGCCTGGCACAGTAAGTAATGTTTTGCAGGAGGCCTCGAACACTGGAAGCAGGTTCTGTGGTAGTCCCGGCCTCCAGGCCTGGTGGCAGGTGTGACAGGTTGTACATAGGCAGGAGCGTTGCACTTCTAATCAGAGCCCAGTGGGATTTTATTCCAGAATACCATTGTGCTCAGCTTCCTCAGAAGGTCTTTTTCTTGACTAGGGTGAACTGGTTATCTGAATAATACTGAAATATTTAGGAGGAAAATAAATGGAAGGAAGAGGGCTGAAAAAGGAGACTGTCTTGAAGAACAGAAGCTTTAGCAAGTGACTGTTTTTACTACATCAAAATGTGAATAGTCGTTATTTATGGCAAGTAGTTTTTTTTCTTATTTCTGCTGAACTCATGAGTTGTGTGATAAGAAATTAAAAGGGGTTTTATTTAGAGGTAGCAGAACTCTGCTCAAGGCACAGATTGATTTGTAAACAGATTCCTTCTGGTTTTTCAGCGAGGTTGGAATACGAGAAGGTAAGTGACATCAGCCATTTGGCCTAGTATTTGGGAGACCAGAATATTACTGACTAATGAAAACAAGTTTAGAACATCTGAAACTTGTTTGACCCTGTGATGACATTTTTTTTTTCTGCTTTTTAAATTTTTCTTAAGTAGTCCTATAGACTTTAACCACTTGATTGAACTTCATTATAAACATTAACTGTTAATTCTATGAAATGCATTTCCTTATTGATCTTCTGGCTATGTCATTGTTCTGTGATCAGTTGAAGTCTTGTATATTCCCACCTTGATTTTGTTCGTGTGTGAAGAATTGTTGGTTTTATTTTTAGAGTATAATGGTTGGGTAAAGGGATCTCTTTTTCTAAATGGAACCTCTGTTTTAATTTGTGCTATCAATAACATAGTCTTACAAATCCTAAACTAGCTACTGTGGCTTGTAATAATATGAATTCTGTCTTTAATAAAGTCTGATTCATTTTTCTAAAGACTACTTACCAGAGAAATAGATCTTATTAACTAGATGCTGATGGAATTCTAGAAATACAGTTCTAGGATATACGGCCACCAGTGAGCAGTTGACAACAAAGAGAGTCTTAACCATGTAGCTAATTTATTATGCTGTTATTAGCCTATGAAAACATCCATTTTTTTAGTGTAATGTTCATTTGTATCTATTTAGAAAGGACATCGCTTATACATTAACTTTGAAAAAAGTTCTCAGATGTCTATTATTTTTAAGAAATGGCAGTATTGACTGAATAGGTGTTTATTTAGTCATTCCTAGTGAGTACTCTG